AGATCACTATAATGATAAAAATTCGTCAAACAATTCCACAACCTCTTCCCACTGACTCTTTTTCAACTCCCTGTTTGCATAATCGGGACTTGCAAGGTCCAAAATGGCTCTTTGTGACTCTACAGCAGAAATAAATCTTTCAGTATCAAAACGCATGATATACTGATCACTTGAGTGACATGAACAAGACGGGAGAAAACAAGAAACAACGGATATGTCACCTCTCTGAGCTCTGGTCGCTGACTGAGTCGCCCGCAATGTGAACACGTGATTGCCATCAATGTATCTCATGGTCGTTGGTCGCCTGTGCGTCGCTCACTGTTTGTTGGTCGATGGCGGCCATTGGTCGCGGTCGCCGTCGTGTGTAAGCTCGTACTTAGCTTTTCTACCTAATGGTCGTTCAGCAACTGGTCACCTGCGACCGGTCGACAGTGTGAAACGGCCCTTAATCAGCGTTTCCTGAACTAATGGATTGGCCATGCTGATCCCAGCACTTGGCCAGCCAGGTCACAAAATATCACACCCTGTGATTTATTTACTTGGGGATACGTAAAAGACTGCGCGTACTGAATTCCAGTGGCCGACATCAATGATTTGAAGGACAGAATTGCAGCTGCTGTTTCAACATTTGATATTGACATGCTGCAGCGTGCATGGATGGGGCTTGAATATCGTTTGGACATTGCACATGTGACAAATGGTGCCCAAGTTGAATGTTCAGAACAAATTTTGAGAGTTTCCCTCATAGATGACGCTCAGACAGTGGGTCTGTATCTTTTCACAAAGGTTCTATTTATGAGTAAAGTTGTAAAGATAATTTATATACAGTCTGTATAAAATAATTACAGTAGAATATAAATATCAACTGATCTATTTTGTCGGCAGATTTTCCTGTCTTTATTTTTAATTTATATTAAAAATGTAATAAGAGATCTACAAATCCCACCAGTTATTGTATCTACCAGTTCTTTGCCAGCTGCAGATTTTAAGTATCTGTGGTTTTCTGTCCAGTTCTGCCATATATACATGGGAAAATCTGTGTCTTCCATAGAAGGAGATCCATATTTGCTCAGGGCAAGGCTAAAATTGAATCTGAAACTGGTTTTCTCCTGCCTTCCAGATAACCATTGCAATGCACAGTTTTGTGATCCCGATTTATATCCTGTGTCAAGCATTGTGCATATGCATCTGCAGGTCTGCCAGTTCCCAATTTTCGATAATGCCTTGGCCTTTCTAACTGCTGTATTTGCAGAATTTAATGTCAGTGGTTGGTGAGGATTGCTGTACAACTAATTACAAAAAATAAGCTCTCATAAAATTCTGAAATTATCCTAATACCTGCCTAACGAAGGTGCTTAAGAAGACTTTTAAAAATGACGATATTTTATTTTGTACCACTTGTGACAGACCAGTACTTAACAAGCATATTTTCCTTTCATTGGTTGTATAGAGCAGTGGTATTCAACCTTGGGTATGCGTTCCCCTGGGGGTACACGAAGACATCTTAGGGGGTACGTGAAATTTAAAAAAAAAATTATTATTTTATGATAAACACTGAATTATCAGTAATGTAATTTATTTAATTTATTTTAGATGTAGATTATATACTATATATATAACTTCAATTATACATCAACAACTTTGGGGGTACAAAGTTGAAGAGAAATTATATCTGGGGGTACGCGAAGACATCTTAGGGGATACGTGAAATTTAAAAAAAAAAATATTTTATGATAAACACTGAATTATCAGTAATGTAATTTATTTAACTAATTTTAGATGTAGATTATATACTATGTATAACTTGAATTATACACCAACAACTTTGGGGGTACAAAGTTGAAGAGAAATTATATCTGGGGGTACGTGAACAAAAAAGGTTGAATACCACTGGTATAGAGCATGTACAAAAACCTGTAATGTTTTTGTGTGAAGCCTCATACACCCGCAGTTTTTACTGTAATATCCTCTGTATATTTGTCCAGGGCACCCACTATCCACTGACCAAGGCAACATTCTGTGGGCATGGGCTGCCTATCGACTACTACTCTGAGCAAAATACTGTTCAGTTGTCATTCCAAAGCAATTCAGGAGTGGAAGGCAAGGGCTTCAAGTTACGCTATGCATTTCAAGGTACTTTTATTCGGTCCTTAATTGGCTGTCAACATGTAATCTCTGTTTATTAATGTTTAAAGTAATTGTTTTCACGGCAGTGAGTCTGAAGATTGCTGTCTTCTGGGTTGTGCTGTGTCATCTGGTAGAATTATACCAATGTTTCAGAGGTCCTTGCTGTCTCCATCATCAGAGTGATGATAGAGGCAGCTAGGATCTCTGAAATGTCAGTATGCTTCTACCAGATGACACAGCACAACCCAGAAGACAGCAATCTTCAAATGTTTTCTTATTTTGTTTTGTAAGTCTCCTGACCTTATTCAGATTTTGAATTGTTCTTTGTTTAGAACCACAGGTCTATCTGCCTATGTAAACATCCTCTCAACGTTCTGTGGTGTGATCATTGAATGAGCTGTGTGGTTATAACTTGTGTCAACCATGCTTCACTGCTTACATGCAATCCAGCTAACCATGTGTTACAGTTAAATATCATATTCATTCATTAAGATTTGTCAGATGGTTCAAAAGCTTATTTGGAACGAGAGATATGCCTGTTTTTCTTAAAAATAAAGGAAGTTGGGTAAAAAATGCTGCATTTTACAAGACCAATAAAATGGATGCAAGGTTGCTTGATGGCTTAACTCGTATATAACCTTTTCAAGTACTTTAGAAAAAGTAGTTAATACATATCAAAAAATCAGTTTACTATGTTAATGATATTAGTAACAGTCTGACTTGGCAAATGGAGTGGATGATCATGTCAGAAATGCTACCTGTTTGGAACTAAGAGTTTGTAGCCACTTATAAGTTAGTATTTTAGTCTATTAAATGAGTGCATAGATGGGCCGGGATAGCTCAGTCAGTATAGTGACTAGCTACGGGCTGGACGACCGGGGTTCGATCCCCGCCGGGGGCAGAGGATTTTTCCTCTAGCCTCTGCGTCCAGACCGGCTCTGGGGCCCACCCAGCCTCCTCTACAATGGGTACCGGGGTCCTTTCCCGGGGGTAAAGCGCAGCTGGGGCGTGATGCTGACCACTCACCCCCATCTAGTGCTGAGGTCAAGGAAGAGAGAAGCTATACCTCCACTCACCCCAAACGCCTACATGGCGTATAGTGGGACAAACTTTTACTTTTACTTTAAATGAGTGCATAGAGCTGATATCCATTTTTACAAAAGTCAAACTTTGATTCCAAATAAACGGCAGTCACTGCCTAATAGGTAACGAGATATAGTGTTAGAGCGGTGTCTTGCTTATGTCCTGCAGGCTGCAACAGGAATTACACAGGGGTACAGGGACGCATCTATATGGACCAGGTGTCTGCAGAGTGTACTCTGATGATTCGCGCACCAGACAACTCTACCATTGCACTCTATTTCATGAGTTTCCATCAACAAAGAAGCGAACAGTGCCTGGAATCTTCTCTTGAGGTGGGTGCAGAGCAATATATTGACAGTTGATTCCACGCCAGCTTTCTCATCACAACACTTTACCACATTGGCAATGATATTTCTCTCTTTGCTGTAAAACGTTAGTCCTCGCTTCCTTTGTGCAGACATCACAACTGAGCCAGTAACGTCAGTGGGTGGAGTCAACCCCACCATGACTCTACAGACTTCCTAAAATACACAAGGAGTGTGTTCTACCGAGTCCAATAGTGCGGGTGTCTGAAAACCATATAAGAAACTCAGAGGCCTTCATCCAGAAACTCCGCAACATGAACTTGCAGAATACTGATATTCTGTTCAGTTTTGATCTGGTCTCTCTGTTCGCCGTGATTCCAGTAGATTCATAACTACTGGGCCAACATTTGTAGCACTTCTAGCATTTCTAGCAAAACTAGGATTTTCAATCTGTTCTGACAAGTTCTCACATAACCTGCTCTCCCTAAATGGTAATTTCTATGACAAAGCAGGTGGGGTTGCCATGGGTTTATCATTTGCTCCAGTAATGACCAGTTTCTACATGGAGAAGTTCTGGCACAAAGTACTGGACCACTGGTTCAGATATGTTGATGACACCTTCATGGTCTGACCCCATGTCAATGATAAACTAAGGAAGTTCCAGGAATACCTCAACAGCAGCCTCCCAAACGTAGTGGAAGACGACAGATCACTACCGTTTCTTGATACGTTGATGAAGAGAAAACCTAGATGAGTTCTGAGGCGTATGGTCTGCAGAAAACACACACAAGACATATCTGTATAGGAGTTGACGTTTTCACAGTGGCGAGTCTTAAGATGGATGTCTTCTGGGTTGTTGCGCCACGTAGTCTGGCAGAAGTTTACCGATGTTTCAGAGGTCCTTTCTGCCTCCATTGCCTTGATGATGGAGGCAGCAAGGACCTCTGAAACATAGGTAAACTTCTGCCAGACTACGTGGTTCAACAACCCATAAGACAGCCATCTTATGACATATCTGTACCTGCATGCTAGCTCTCACCATCCGTCATCACAAGACGCGTTGTTGTTCTTATACCTCAACAGATAAATCAAACATCCCAAGAAGACTCAGGCAAAATGGCTACAGTAAGGCAAACATTCACTGAGCAGGGGCTACATTCACAATTATAAGTCAGAGACTTTTAATAACCCACTGTGGGAATATGAATCATAAATGTACCTCTCAAGATGTTTGGGTCCGTGCGAGTGAGAAGATAAAGCTCAAAGCATTTTTATTTTATACCTCAGCATTATAGTAACTGAGTGACGAGATTCGTGTGCTTTGACCACATTACTAACTCCATGGAACAAGAGTCCTTTAGAATCTGCTAGTCACTCAACTGGGCAAAAAAATTTCCGCCTCTTATGAAACCTGGGGTCCCGGGTTCAATTCCCGGAGGTGCCCGGATTTATAACTTGTGTTGGGCAAGACCGTGGTCTAGGCAACACGGAGTTTTTCTCCATGGCATCCGAACAATTACTCCATTCACACACAGAAGAAGGCAATGGCAAACCACTTCTGGATCATCTGCCAAGAACGAATATGAACAGGTCCCAGTCCGAGAAAAAGATGGAAGGATCCTGTTCATATGGACCTGTCGTCAGACAGAACACTAAATAATAATAAGATGAGGTGGTCTAGCGGTTAGAACGCTGGCCTTGTAATCCTGGGGTCTCGGGTCGAGAAAAGGATGGAAGGATCATGTTCATATGGACCTGTCATCAGACGGAACACTAAATAAATAAAAATACATGCCTTTGAACCCTATTTCTGTGTGGCATGTTCTAATATATGTGCTGTCATCTGTGTTTAGGTCTCCTAAGTATTTCTTACCTTCTGGTTTTACTAGTAAACTTCTGTATGCATTTCTCTTATCCGCCATTTCTACCACTCATCCTCCTTAATTTAGTCCCCAAGCTGATCTGAACATTGTCACAGTGAAGAAAAATTCTTACCTCATCTGGAAATTTATCTCGAGCCATCTGTTGCTTTGCCAGTCACTGTAGTCAGTGACTGGCAAAGCAACAGATGGCTGGAGACCTAAATTAGCTATGACTGCAGATATCATAAGAAACCAAAGACAGATTTTGAAGAGACTGTTAATCATTTGAGGCCAGAACAGGTTGGTAAGTGGCCCGGCTTCTGACTGTTTAATGATGATGAAAACAATGCGAACGAAACACGGAACGCATTTCATCCAATGCCGTGAGTGTTTGGACTTAAGCACAAAATAATTAACTCTTTGTTAATGCGTGAAACATCAAAACCCATATAATTTCTTTCTAACATGAAACTGAAGGCTTTCAGTATCTAAGGACAAAAGTTGTTTCCTGTTACAGGTACGAGATGGCGCCACTCGACAATCACCTCCGCTGGCTCGTCTTTGTGGCTATGAGTTGCCAAATCCCATCTTCTCAACAGGAAATGCTCTGTTGCTGCTACTGTCTGCGGACTCGTTAAATTACGACCATCTGGATATTACATACACAACCACTGATCAAGGTATTTCCATAAGTTTGCATAAGTAGTTCACTCTCAGTGAGGTAGAACTTATTGTTGTTCCTGTAATTATGCAAAACACCATGAAAGCATATAGGGGGCATGGAAGTAAGCTCGTGGTGCCTCCACATTTAAGAACACTGTTGTGTGAAGAGATTTTTACCTCCAGCTGTTCTACCTCATGGAATCAAAATTTCTGTTTGTATTTTCTCATTCTTATCTGTAGGACTTTTGTAGTTACATTTTTTCCATAAGATAGTGAAAATGGATCATAGTATACTCATTAGTACAACAGTTGTATATTTGTTGTAATCAGTATGTGTGTATGTGTATATATATTTTTTTTAATATAATCATCACCGTTGTTATTAAACTTCTAATGTTGTATGTCTAGTACTCTCCCAACAAATTTTAATGGACTAAGGTTGTAAGTGTACTTTCCACTTTAACATAAGCCAAGAACACCTCATAGTTCCAGCCTTTTCTGTCTGTTTTTCTACCTGTCTGTTGTTTTTTTAGCCCCCCCCCCCCCCCCCCCACAAAGAATGTTCCCTGGTAACTAGGCAACCCCCAGGGTTTCACAAAAGGACAAAGTGATCTCAGCGGATTACACCCCAGGATTCTTATCCTGCCACAGTTTCTGCCCTGGAGTTTACTCCTTGCAGGAATCTTCTCCCAGGTCTATGCCCTATTAGGCCTTCCCATCCCTTTGGGGTGTTGCTCAAAAGACTTGCTTCCAGTAGCATGACCCTATCTGGGCCTTGTCAAACACCCCTTGTCTGGGCATCACTCCCCATGTGTACTTCTCATAGGTAAACCTCAAAGGACTGCCTAGTTGTGGGCTTTGCCCTCAGTGATTCTGTCCATGTCTCCGTCTGTCTTTTGTCACATCTTTGAGCAAGCCCCCAGTGATGCCACAGTCCAGAGACGAGGCTTCCCAAGGGGCAAAGTAATCCCAGGGGTTGCACTTTCCTTGGGGCTTCCACCTCAAGTTTAGCCTCAGTGGGGTCTTTTAAACCCAGGCCTTTAACAGCTTAGTCTTGTCCCCTTTCGGAGCAATACACACAAGACACATTTATGGTAGCTTGGCACCCCAGGGTCATGCCCTCCCACACGGGCTTTACTCCACTAGCTTTTCCCCTTCTTACTGCTTAGAGTTGGGATTTCCTACCTCAGGGCTTTGCCCTCCTCCCCCAATTCTTTCCCTTCCAGGTTCCCTCTCCCATGTGTCCCTCCTCCCCTGCACACAGGTTTCAGAATCCACTGCTTTGGCCCCACTGGGCCTGTATACCCTTGAGACTGCCTTCCAAGTGATTGGTCACTTACAGGACTAGTCACCCCCAAGCTACCTCTAGCACTTACCATCCAAGCCTGGGACCTTGCCACCTGGGCTTGTTACTCTAGGGGTTTTGTCCGACATGCTGGGCATGACCTAGAATTTTCCTCTGGACATTCAATTTTGTGCCATCTAACAGTCTGTCTCATCTTACAGCAAAGATTGTTTTACTATCTACATATTATGCCATATAATAATTGATAATGGCTTATTGGCTTTCTGTAAAATTTGGAATGGAATTTATGCTCTTGTCAGCTGTTTCAAATCCATACACCTTATTTTATTTTCCTACAGTCAGAAATGCAAACTTGTCGCCCTCTGTGGACTAGTGGTTA